GAAGATGGTGTTGGTGTTGATGATTTAGGCTTTGCAACATCATTAATTTTTCAACTCACGGCGTTTATACTCGCAATTGGTTTTCAAGAGCGTTTTTACCCGTTAAGCCGAAATTACATCATCATCTTAGTCATGTATCTCCGTCCTTTTTATTTGGGATGTCATCACCACCACAATCTTCATGTGAGTATACCATTAATAACATGAATATAGTAAAAGAAATCAACATTCGGGCAATTATCAAAAATACCACTAATTGAAGTTTTGTTTTCCAAAGTTCTTCCATTTTTTAAATGTTCCACAAATATAATTATTTTTCAAATGTTTTACAAATACCACAAAACTAAATTTAACTTTCAACATTCAAAATTAAACCCTAAATCCTAAACCCAAACACTATCCTATAAAAATTATATATACCCTAATACTTCAATAGTTAACCCAAACCAATAAATTTAAATTATAAATCCTTGGAAATCAAGTTTGTGTTTGTGGTATAAATTTGTGGAATATTTGAAAAATAGTGGTATTTGTAAAACATTTAAAAAATGGTGGTACTTCTGAAAACATAAATTCAAAATGTGGTATCACATAGAATTTATCTTTTAACATTATGGCTTCGTAACGCAAAAAGGGACAAATGAAAAAAACGCATTAAGGGGATGTTCGTTTCCTCATTTAAATCGATCACTTAGATGATGATGTAATTTGGATGATAGTGTAAAAAATGAATATTGACTGTGACGTCCATCAATATTCAAATGGTCTATCTAAATATTGATTATTTTGGCGTTATCCTACCAAATCGCAAAAAAATTTACGTTTTTCGCCAAAACGATAAAAACTTAAAATTTTCGGACTGAAATATTCAAAATTTTGTAATTATAGTGGACTGAAAAAAAAGTTTTTTTTTTAGTCGACAATTTCATTTCATTAATGAAAGCCCATTGGGCAATAACAAAAGAGATAAGCCCATTAGAAAACAAAAAACCAGCCCAATACAATTATCACGTGATGAGAGAAAAGAGAAGAATCTTCTCGAACCACCACGCAACCTCCATAAACCACCGCCGGAAATTGTCTTCAATCACCACGAAGCTCCGATCAGCCGCCGCTAACCATCTCAGCAACGATGGGAGGCTTTACCTCTTTCACCAATCTCATAACCCTTTCCCAATAACCACCGCATCCGACCGAATCACGCATTAAAATCTCTTCAAAAAACTCTTCAAAATTACCAATTCCATGGAAGCTTCGTTACTGACTACACCCAAATTTGATGTAATCTTAGATCCTAACTTGCTCCTGCGTCTTGAGCAAAAGGATTAGAAGTAACACAGATATTACTCCACAACAATTGATAAAATCAAAGAGTGTTTGAAGAATAAAACCAGTGATAACGATGGATTGAAGCTCAGAGAGATATGAGATCGAAACCCAAACAAACAAAAGAGCCGAGAAAATCACAACCGAAACCCGATCGGAACCGGATCTAGCCGGAACTAGCCGAAAAATCCAAACCGAGAAGAACGATAGGAACTACATATTTACAGACAAAACAAAGAAAAGAAAAGGAAAACTGACGCCGGCAACCGCCGGACGCCGGAAAACGCTTCCTTAGTCGGATTGTCTACAAGCTTCTGGAAGAGAGAGAAACCTCTGGTCTTCCGTTTTCTAATTTTCTTTTGGAAAAAAAAAAAGGTTTTAAAAAGTTGGTAGTGCAGATAATTTTCTAGATTTATTCTATTATTTATTCTGTTTCATTCGTTTACAATCCCATTTATATATATAAATATATATTTTTTTTTTTTGAAAAAAGGCTTATATACATATATTCCTTCAGTTCTTTTTATATATACATATTGATATGAATATACAACTTTCTTTTAGTTTGATTGAAAATCAGAAGATAGAACTATTTTAGTTAATGTGTGATTGGAAGAAAACAATTCAGGGCAACATTCGGCTATTAATACAACAGTAGTGCTGGTTTTAGATATGTCTCTCTACCTTTGTCACAATCATAAATGTTGCTGCTGTTTAAGAACATGTCATAAATTCAATAGACTCCACCACTGTGGAAATTATCTCTGCTCAAGACTCAATAATCTCATGGCAAACTTTAGCTATTAACTTGTCAATTTCGTTAACTTGACAATCTGCTACGACTACTTCCACAATTTATGCTACAACAACTGCCAGAACTTTTGCAGCTTCTGCCATAGCTACTATCTTATGCTATAGTTTCTGCTACTAAATCAACACCTATTCAAGAAATTCATCAACCATCTATGTCACCAGTTACAGTCATTGAAGTTGTACCAGTTTGTGAAACACCTTCTCCTCAGTCAATCTTACCCTTGGCTGAGGAAGATGCAGTTGTGATTGAGCCTGGAGAAGTTCTTTTGATGGACATGGAGTTTCTACAAAACAAAACTAAGCTAACTCTAGGGAGCTCAATTCTTTAGCCCCTTGGACACTCTTTTCAGCTTTTATTGTCCTCAAAAGCTACTCTACTAGTTTAGGTGTATGCTTAATCTATGTCTTATTTCTCTCTAGCTACTTTCTCAAAATATATATGACCCTTAAAGTTATATCCATGTAATTTCCTTTATTCATTTTGATTGAATACCCTTTATAAAAATAAAATAAAAACAATTCAGACCATACAACTTCATCAGCATATTACTTCTACGGCTTACTCCAACCGCTCTATTAAGGACCATACTAACCAGGCCCATACTTGGCAGAATGTTACTAGAGGATGAACTTGACGTTTAAAGGAATTTTGACTCATTTTCTATAGATAACCATACTTTTGCACGACTAAAATCACACACAAACACATACGACAAAAAATCATTTAAGCTAGTTTGTGGGTGTACCTAAATATATACTCATTTTGTTTTTACAGCTCTCACATATATAGAGAGCAATTTAATCTATTTTATATATGCGGAGAGGTGGAGTTGAAGTCGAGATGATACAAAACGCCAGGCTGACTAGCTAGATAGTAGATATATAATAGAGTTCTCTAGCAGTAGTTGAAGCGCTACATCCAAAATTTATAATGGTATATAATGTATGATTAACATCATTAATGTTTTCTTAGATCAGTTTGTAATTAGAAATTGATTCACGAACTTTCCATCATGTCCCGTCCTCAATTCTTATCACTAACCGAGTTGCTTATAAGCATAATCAATGGCAATGGAAAAAACACCACAATTGATCTGCTTGGACGACATTCTCTGTGTAGTAGTTGCTCATTGTCTTGCCCAACTACAAAAATATTGAAGGTACGGTTAGAGAATCTGTTTCATAATCTTTTATTTGTTTACTAAAGTATAATGTGTGTCGTTGTTAATATCACTTGGAAACCTTCTCAGTTTAAGGAAGATGAGCAATCAGGAGAGTAAAACTCAGAGCGAAGCTGCACCAATTGGATCGCAGTCTACAACAGTGGACATACTGGACAAAGGGAAACACCAAGAAGATACAATAGTAGATATTGCAGGGCCAAGTAGGCCATCGCCTAATAAAGATCCTTGTGATGGTAACCTCTCTTGAATGATGATTCTATTACAGTTATTATTTTTTATCCTGTTTTAATGGCTTTGTTTCTCTCGTTCTTCCTCCCTCCAGATGGAGTACGAGTCAAGCACCTGACTATAGGCGTTCCACTGTATCAAGCTGCTCTGAAAGGAGACTGGAAAGCAGCGAAAGCTATAATCGATGAAGAAAATGGTATTGTGCGCGAGCACATTACCAGTAGATGGGAAACTGCTCTTCACATCGCTGTCGCAGCAAAGCACACGGGGTTTGTGAGAAATCTACTAGGAAGAATGAACCCCGATGACTTGGCCCTGAAAAACGAGGCCGGCAACACATCCTTATGTTTTGCTGCTGCGTCGGGAGTTATCGAGATTGCTGAAATGTTGATAAACAAGAATCCAGATCTTCCCATGATTCGTGGCGGTGGAGGAATGACTCCAATCCACATGGCAGCTATGTTTGGTCATGCTGAAATGGTCATATACCTACGCGGGAAAACAGTCTTTGGAGATCTAACTGATGTGGAATTTATGAATCTTTTTCGGTTAATCATATTAGCTGATATCTATGGTAAATATTCCATCTTTTTTTGTTTTTAGCAAGTGGGCCTTGGTCGAGTGGTTCTTGAGTTTACTCAAAAGCCACTAGTTCAGATTCGTTTAGAATTAGTGATTTACGCATGGCTCGCTCCGGGCACCAAGTACAATTTTGGTCAAAAGCGGATTTTCCGTCCACTGTTTATCAAAAAAAAGAAAATTTCCTTCTATTATTTTTCATAAATTTATCTTTTGTTCTCATTCAAGCATTATGGCAGATGAAGCTCTGAGGATGTTGAAAATGGAAAGACAACTAGCCATTTCTCGAATTGGTACAGGGGAAACTGCCTTGCACTTGATGGCTCGCAAGCCTTCTGCAATTTCGCACAGGAGACAGCTAAACTTGTTTCAGAGACTAGCAAATTTTAGTAAGTAAGCAAAGATTTTATCTGAGCTTGAGACCTGAATAAGGTCATCCCAAGAGCCAACATTACTTGAATATGCTTTTATATCCATTGAGTGCTGTTGAAACCTATTTATTTACATCATGACTAACAAAAAAAAATTTCATTTAGTTTATAAGGGGTTCTTTCATGAAGCCAAAATGCGAACCCTAGCTCACCAGCTGGTAGAGGAGTTATGGAATTCAGTTTTGCAGTTGCCAATGGATAAGGTTTCGGATTTAATGAGGTCTCCTTCAAGACTACTTTTCGATGCTGCAAAATCAGGAAATGTTGAGTTTTTAGTTATTCTTATTCGGTCTTANCCAGACCTGATATGGAAAGTTGATGAAAAAAGTAGAAGCTTATTCCACATTGCTGCTTTGAATCGTCATGAAAGAATCTTCGATATAATCTATGAGCTAGGGACTATTAAGGATTTGATAGCAGCGTATAAAGAAGATGAGTCAGAAAATAACATGTTGCATCTTGTGGCACATTTACCTTCTCCAGATCGGCTACATGTTATATCAGGAGCAGCACTTCAAATGCAAAGAGAGATCCTTTGGTTCGAGGTACGCTACACATAACTCTGCTATAATATAATATCTTCTCCACTTCTATTTGTTTAGATATCCTTACAAGCTATCTTATCGCATCCAGGCTGTTAAAAAGATAGTTCCTCGTTCATACATTAAAGCTAAAAACAGTGGTGGAGAAGTAGCGCATGATCTCTTTACCAAAGTACACAAAGAGTTACGCAAAGAAGGAGAAAAATGGATGAAAGATACCGCAACATCATGTATGCTTGTAGCAACGCTGATAGCGACTGTGGTCTTTGCAGCAGCCTTTACTGTACCGGGTGGAAACGATGCAGCAATGGGATTTCCTAACTTTAGGAAGAAATTGTGGTTTGATATCTTTATCTTATCAGACTCAGTTGCCCTCTTTTCATCGGTGACATCGATTGTGTTCTTCTTGTCAATATTGACTTCTCGATATGCCCAAGATGATTTCCGGAGGGCCTTACCATCAAAGCTAATGTTCGGGCTACTAGCATTGTTTGTGTCGATCATCTCCATGGTTCTTGCCTTCACTGCAACAATGATCTTGATCCGCTACCAGGAACCTAAGTGGAGCTTAATCCTTATTGCTTGCCTTGCTTCGCTCACAGCTCTCTCATTTATTTCATTGCATATTCATCTTTGGTTTGACACACTTCGGTCATGTTTGTTTAAGTTTCTTGTCCATCGACGTAAAAGTGGCATATTCCCCTAAATTCACTAGTTATTTCATGGGATTTTTGCAGATAAGTCACACCAAGTAGTTCTAAATACAGAAAAGTCATATAATGAGAAGTATTTACAAATGAATCACAAAAGAGTATAAAATGACATTTTTGGCCCTAAATCTATGTTCTACGATTTTTTATTTTTTATTTTTTAAAAATAGAGTGGTCATCTGTTGTTGACATTTGTCAGATTTTATTAAAAACTGACCGACCACTTTTACAAAAAATGTGAAAGATATTTTGAATATTACTAATAAAATTCTCATTTCTAATTTAAATTTTCTTCTCTCCTTAAACAAAAATCTCA